CTGGAAAGCCACCGTGTGAATTGATCGTAAAGGATGGTGGTGATAGGAGTTATAGCTACCCAATGATGACCAGCAGACTACCTGCAGCAACAATGGGCTCATTGTAATTTGCAGGCCATGCCTTGGCCTATTGTTTGCAGCCTTGCTCCCTCACACCGGTGTGCTGCTTTAATTTTCAGCCGCCTGACATATAGGTGAAGAGTAAGCAGCACTAGGCTGGTAGATGTCACGTCACTTTCCGGCCTGAGGAGATAGTGGGGGACTTACCTGGCTCAGGATGTCACCCACACAAAGCCCACCCATGGTAGAGGAGCCCGCACTGCGCCCAGCCCCACAAGGCGCACCACGGGCACCTACGGCCGCGCAGCTAAGCCAGCCATGTCGCACTCACCTCAACAAGAGCCGGCGAGACGGCCGCGATCCCCGGACACAGGAGGAGCCCCGGGCCCCGTGTGACGATGGCGACACAATGTTGTTGTTGATATGATCACCCCTCGGGCTGCGGGCGGCAGCTGCAGGGTGGGATTATGGCTTCGTGCTCTTGACGTCACCAGAGTGACGCAGCATTCGGTCACTAGAACGGAGTCCGCGAGATCAAAACCCAGCACCCTTCGCGCGTGTGCGTGCTCCACAAGCCGAAGCTAACGGGTCGCCACGCCCTCCGCGACGTCACTGCGCTGCGAGGAGGGGCCACCGGCCTGTCTGACTGTTGTTGATTTTTTTTTTCTATTTTTCATTTGAAGCTTTATTTCTACTTAGCGTTGCTAACAACAGAATTAATTATTGTGGAGTGTGTCAACCATAGCAATGCATTTAACTAATGCTATGTTATAGCATTTTCATGTTAAATTTATATTCTTCTTTTTCCAAAATTGAATAAATGCATTTATCTTTTTTTTTATTAGAGTCTGCAAAGCTTAGCAACCACCATCAGTGGGTCAGGGGGTGCAATGTTCAGGCTCTTGCAGACTATTTCTCCAGCCCCGAGTCCATTTGGTTATGGAGCTGGAGGAAGTTGTGTATTTTCATTTATTTATTACAGGTGTTTATATAGTGCCAACAAGTTATCAATGGACTACAAGTGCATCGTCGTTCTTGTAATCCACTACGAGTCCCTCTGCCGTGGTGTTTATGCATTCATAGATGCTTTGAATGGATCTGTAAATGAATGACATACTGAATTAAAAGAGACACAGGATCCTGTGGTGAGAAGCACCCCACGATTAAGATAAATGGGGAGGGTGGGCAGGTTGGGGGTGGGCAATTGCTGAATGGTTCCATGTTACACCCCAAATATGGGCTCTGTAAGGTCCAGGACACTCCCACATATAGTGATCAAGTAGAAAACATGGTGTTTGGATTCAAATTGACAATAGGTCAGTGGGCTCTGATAAGGCCTTTTGAAACCTTTTGTTTGGCCCTCTCATTAGACGTTGTCTACTCGGATAGGACCATTAGGCCCCATTCACACTAAGCGACACTTACCTCGAGCTGATTTCCGCGCGGCGGGATAGCGTGACTGTTCGGGCGACGATCACGCGACCTTCACAGTCGGGCTGCATTCAAAAATAGCAAAATCGTGCGACACCCGTGGGAAAAAGGGTCCTGCACAAGAGACAGGCGACATGGAGCTGTACATTAGAACAGCTGCATTGAAAATCATTGGCCAGCGACTTCTTGCGATATCGCGCGGCAAAAATGCACGATATCGCGGCGTAAATCGCGCGATAAAACGCCCAGTGCGAATGGGCACTTATAGGCCATTTAAGGAGTCCATGTTACCAGACTATTTGTTTTAACTAAAATCTTCCCAAAAGAATATACAGTCTGTGTATTTCCCATCTTCACCTGTAAGTCTCTCTTGCATAGACACCCACATGACCTGAGACTGCTGCTGGGTGCCGCAGTTTGAATGTGATATTAGCATCCCCAAAGCTGTCATTTAAGTGACACTCTAAAAGACTATGCGGGGCAGAGGAGTTATATAATAATTAGACACTCTCAGAAGACGAGAGGGCTATAACGTGCAAGAAAGGAGGGGCTGTGCTAGGGAATTGACACTTTTTGGAGTAGTCAAATGTTCTAACAAGTGTGAACTCTCTTCCATAACCGCTATTTACAGATCAAGTCTCAATCCTGTGGAATTGCTACTCTTGTATGCATCTTCCCCATCCCACTTTATCTCTCAGTTTTTGCAGGATCCTTGTAAACTGGGCACACTGAATTACCCTTTAAAGTGACACTAAACTCAGGAATGAAATCTTAAAAATGCATTCAAGTACCTTGCAAAATGTATTTGTGTATCCTGTAGATCCTCAAATCATCTCTGAATTCATGCTGACACTATGTTCCCCCTGGTCCCTGTGTGTTGTAAAGTAGCCACCACTCCAAGCTCACTCCCGTGATGGACTGCAATGTCACATTTAATTTACATAATTTGTATTGAGATTGTATTCCATCACAGGAGCGAGGTTTGGAGCAGTGACTACTTTACAACACACACAGGGACCATGGGGAACAAAAGTAGCCACCCTGCAGAAGGAAGGACAGCGTCAGCACCAATTCAGAGATGATTTGAGGATCTACAGCTGAGTGATACACAAATAAGATACATTTATGTTAACTGGGTACTTTAATGCATTTTCAAGAAACAACTCCTAAGTTTAGTGTCACTTTAAACTTTTTACAGTGGAAGCAAGAATTCCAACAGTCTCTATTAGAAGACCAGTAGTAACAAATTCTGCAGCTATTTTATATTTAATCGATCAATCAAAATTAAGAGAATAAACGATTATAAACGTTGTCTAAACGATTGTTCCTGCGCTGCGGAATATATAAATATTTGTAATAATTAACTTTAAACCTATTCTTCAATAGTATTGAATCACACCAAGAGTCTATGTCGTAATCACTACAGCTTCCTTTCTGTGTTGAAAGGATGTGGGATTTTGGGCACATTTGCCCACATATGGTGGTCCTGCCTGGCTATCCAGACCTTCTGGGGTAAAATAGCATGGTATCACAAGAGAATAGTTGAATCTTTCAGCAAGCAAGGTTCATGTTAAAGGAGAACTATGGGGTTAAGTATTTTCACCATAGTTGTCCTTAGGGTAACCAGAGGACACAAACAAGCGTCCTCCCGTCACCCTAGGCTCAGTATACCGCGAGCTACTGAGACTGAGTAACCAAGCATCACAAGTGTTGCAGCCAGAAGACTACAAGCATCAGCAAGTGTTGTATTGGTTGACAGCCCTATAGAGGTCTAATTGGCTGGGTGCGCAGGCAGCACTAAGAAGATTTTTGTTACATAGTTACATAGTATTTGAGGTTAATTAAAGACACAGGTCCATCAAGTTCAACCGTTATGTGTAAGTGTGTGTGGTGTGCATGCGCATGAGTCCCTGTGTGGTCCTAGGTTTAAGGAGTACCTGTACCCAGGGGCGTCCCGAGGCTGGGTGTCACCCGGGGGTAAGACCGGGTGATGTCATTGCGCATGTGCGTGACGTTGCTGTGCGATGACGTCGTCGCGCATCCGCGGTGGTCTTTTTGACGCCTGCCGGCGGTGATGGACGCCGGCAGAGAGAGGAGGGGACGTTCACCCGGCGGGATAAGCCGCCGGGTCCCCTCCTCTCTCCTGACATCGGCCTCTTGGTCCATGACGGAGTGCCCGACACTTCATAGGGGGTGACACCAAAATGACTGACAGTAATTTTGGTGTCACCCCCCAATGGTGGCACCCGGGCTGCAGGCCGCACCCCCCCGTGACCCCACTGCTTGTACCCATGTATGTTAGGGTCTCTGAGGAAGGTATCTAATTGATTTTTGAATGATTCAATACTCTCTGCTGATACCACTGCTTGTGGCAAAGAGTTCCAAAATGTACCCGCTCTGACTGAAAAGAAGCCCATTGTTGCTATGTGACTAAGAATGGAAGAGCAAAAGCAGAGACACCGGCACTCCAGGGTGAAAAACAACAAAGGTCTATTTAGTGACGTTTCAATTTATTGACTATTTCAATAAATAGACGTTTGTTGTTTTTCACCCTGGAGTGCCGGCGTCTCTGCTTTTGCTCATATTTGTGACGGCTGAAATCCATCGACTACCGTAGCAAGCGCTTCTCGAAAAGGGATCTTGCGGTCAGGAGTGCGATGGAACTATGGACTTTCTAAGAATGGAAGAGGACACAGTGGCGATATTAAGTTAAGTATGAATGTGCTGAGGGAGAGGGACCTAGAGAACATGTACAAGTGTAATTTGATTAAAGCTAAACTCCAGGCACACACACTTTTATTAAGAGTAATTACTCAATAGCCAAAAAGGATATAAATGCACTGTGTAAATTAAATGCCTTTAGAAACCCATGTGTTTCTTTATAAAGGGAGTGATGGGATCATCATTGTGCTGCACATAGTTTGTGCAGGAACCTCAACCGTAGGAGGGATCTAGCAGGTTCACCCACTACAGGCTGCCTGAAGAAAACTACAAGAGGGGGTTGTTACAAGACCAGTCACCCTGCACAAGGAGAAAAAGCATTAGTGACCGGTCATTATTACAGGAAGCTTCTGCACAGAGGAAACGTTTAACACTGGACTACTACAGAGATCTGGAAGAAATACATAAAGCACAACAAGATTCCAGTAAGAATACACATGTCACTTATATTTAGACAGTATTTCCTCATCCCGAAGTTCAGCTTTAAAAGCATTAGTTGTTAGTCATTTTATTTTGTATTTTTAAAATTACAAACAGTAATAAAACATTTGTTAAACAGAGTGGGTTCAGCCTTCTGTCCTTACTGATTCAACCTCACTTCCTGTTTGGTCACCGAGGCACTAAGCAAGATGATATCCCCATCAGGAATACAGACGTCAATCAATCCAGAAAAACGGGGATATGAGGTACTGTAAATTCTGCTGCTTAGGTCCAATATTGCCAAGGTCAAATCTGATTTGTGAAGCTCACTGGCTTTGGTTAGGCAGCTCTCATAATCTAGGGAACCTTAAAGGGCAAAGAAGAAGAGAATGCAATAACAGCACTGCACCAATGGTTGTAGAGTCCAGGAAGATTTTTATTACTTCATATTAGGATAACATAAACCAACCAACACGTTTTGGAGTCTCAGACACTCTTCCTCAGGGCTGGAATGGTGGGATTGATTTATCAATGGACTTACAGGATCTCCTAAACTTATGTAGCTTAAAGTTGTACTAAACTCTGAAACTCTTTTCAAAAAGAAATCCAGATCATACATATATACATTTTCCAGCAAAGTATTTCTTTACATTTTGCCCAAACACTTAGTCATCTTGTTTCCAAACAGCAGGCTCCAATTCTCTCAGCTCTGCTTCCCTAAACCTCCTTTTAAGTACATGATCATGAAGGACAGAGCAGACTCCAGCAGCCATCCATCTACTAGCTTGGAGAAGGGAAGACTAGGGCTTAGGGGAGTAGTTTGCCCTCCTGTATAGACACATACAGCTTACTAGCACACACTAGGATGGCTCCATAGGACCCTGCAAGGGAAAGGAGCCACCCTAAAAAGGATATCATGGCCAATGCTCAAGGAACTAGCTGATCCTTCAGGAATATAAAACGTATAAACCTCAAGAAGCAACATGTATTGTAAATGATTTAATCAGTGTTTGAAATCACTTTAAGTGCATGTGAAAATTTGAACAAGGTGTCATGTTTTTTGTTGCTGTAAAATTGCAGCAATCTTTTAAAGACAAGACAGAAATATGGAAGCTAAAACAGCAGACCTATCCTTATAGAAATGTGGGATGTGACTTCTGTTCTCTTCTGGAAGATGCAAGTCTATCACCCCCTGCCTTGTGTGCCTCTGAGCCGTACACAGCATTTCTACGTGAACCGATGTGCACACGCCTGTTTGAGGCAAGCTCAGGAAGCCGTGCACACGGATGACGATAACTACTCTGTAGTCTGCATGCTCCACATCACCCTAGCTGCTATAATAGGTTTCCTTACGGACAGCAAAGTCATGTGACAAGAAACCTCAGCGCCTACACGTCGCCGCCACGTATTCCGCGCATGCGCCGCCTGCCCTCGGCGCTTCCGGGTTTCTCATTATTCCTCCATGCCCACGTCATCACACCTCTGCCCTGTGTACAGTGCTTAGTGCCCCCGCCCCTTCTTCACCCTTCACCTCTCTGCGTTTCCCAAGCACCGGGGCCTTTTCCTTTACCCTCCGGTGCCGGAGATCCGTGTGCTCTCCCTGCCCGCGCCTTACAGTCTTCTTCACCATGAATTTCCTAAGGGGAGTGATGGGAAGTCAGCCAAGCTCCGGGGTGCAGCCATCTGGAGCGGACACTGTAAGTGACAGCACTGCTGGTGTATATAATGTCTATTCTGAGGTGTCATAGGTAGCAGCATAGGGTCATTACAGTCACACACCTGTCCTTGGAGAATTAGGTGCAATCTAAGGTTGCATGTGTAAGCTTTATGTGCTGCATTGAGTGTCATGGCTAGAGTTCCTACATATGGGGTAGCCAGCTCATGTCATTATAATCTGACACATATGGACTTTATAGACGTTGTGGCTGATTAAATAAGAACAAGCAGTATTGACAGGCTGCCATGGGTGGAGGTAAGTGTCTTGGGTGGGTTTCACTCACTGTTGTTCTTCAATCTATAGGCTGATGTAAGAAAACAGGTTACCCAGCAGATCCGGTTCTTTCACAAGACAACATAGGCAGGGAGCTTAGGGCCCAGGGATGTCCAGAGGGCCCAGCTACAGCCTTTATGCTCCTGAAGAAATCCAATATATCAAGGCTTGTAACAATGCGATCATGATGATTACCTCACATGACCTCACTTGAGATCGTAAAAGTCTTGAGATATTGGATTCATGACTATGTCTTTAGGGCTCATTTACACCCTAATGTTGCACTAAATGCACAGTATCCATGTGTTAAAAAGAGAACTATGGGGTACATTGGTTTTGGCATTTTAAGTTCCCTAATGCTACAGGAATAAATTTTGCAATGTGCTCCTGTAATCAAAATCCATCATAAGCTTGCGATTCCATATAATATACTGTGGGCGGGGCTAAGCATCTGTGCTGAGATGTGATCCTGAAAATATTGCTGGTAAACAAAACAGTAAGTCACCAGCACTCCAAAGGTTCTCCAAGCAAAGGTCCTGTTATTCCATGTGTACAGTTACATCGCCAAGTGTAGCAACATTTCGGGACGCATCCAGTTCCTTCATCAGGCAAAACTTAGTGATGCCCGTTGAAGAAACTGGACGCGTTCCGAAACGTTGCTACACTTGGTGATGTAACCATACACATGGAATAAAAGGACCTTTGCTTGGAGAACCTTAGGAGTGCTGGTGACTTACTGTTTTGTTTATCTGATCCAGCGGTGCCATCCGCTGTCATTTCAGCACCCCCCCCCCCATTGGAAGTTGGGGCATTTTCAGTCATGTAGGGGATCCCCTACATGGAGTGCGGTGGGATCCCCTACATGACTGAAAATATTGCTTGGGGACCTCCCCACTCCTCTTTCATCCCATTGGGTGTCAAAGCCTTGTAGGAGCTGCTGCACATTCAAGGATACCAGCGCAGCAGCTCTGTCCCCGTCTCCCCTACATGCTGCTGTCCCCATCTCTTCTCCCTGGCTCATCGGGAATAACACAAAGGAGATCTGCAGCAGCACTTCAGTAACTGGTCAAGGTAAGATCGGTTGCTAAAGCGCTGCTCCAGATCTCCTTTGTGTTATTCCCGATGAGCAAGGTAGAAGAGGGGATGGAGCTGCACGGGTATACATGAATGTGCAGCAGCTCCTACATGACGCTGTCACTTAATGGCAGGACAGAAGAGGGTTGAGGATCCCCACAATATTGTCAGGGTCGCTTCTCAGCATAGAGCTTAGCCCCGCTTACAGTAGATTAGATTGAATTGCAGGCTTATGGTGGATTTTTGATTACAGGAGTACGTTGCAAAATGTACTCCTGAATCATAACCAGTGCCAAATACAGTGTAACCTATAGTTCTCTTTTAAAGTGTTTTTCACCATAGCGAGCTACAGCTTGCGGTATACTGAGACCGCCGCAGCCGTGATGGATCCCGACATTGCTGTCGAGATCCACCCAGCTGCATGATTGACATCTGGCTCTGCCTGTCTAGAGGCATAGCCAGCTGTACCCGCCCCCTCCCCCGTTCGTTCTTCAAGTCAGCGGGGGAATCTGCAGGGAGCCGTGAGTGACAGACACGGCTCTCTGCAGGGACAGGATCGAGAAGTGAGCGAGCGATGGTATGTGTTTGCTCACTTCCCGATCTACCGAGCCGACGTGTGACAGTCTCATTGTCACACTTTGGCTCAAACTATGAGGTTGAGTGAAAAGCACTCACCTCATAGTTCTCCTTTAATGCACATTATTGCACAGTGCACTGCAAGCTGGGTGCGTGTGTTGCCATTCATTAGAATGACACCCCAATGCACCTCCTGGTGGGTGGGCATGTATGCACAGTATTGCAGTACCGTTCATTGAACAGCACATGCCCACTGGGAGTTGCATTGGGGTGCCTTTCAAATGAATGGCAGCACAACATAGTTACATAGTTACATAGTTACATAGTATTGCCGAACCCGAAGTTCCATTGCACCTGCACACATCCCACGAGCAATACTGTGGTGTAAGCGAGTCTTAAAGCCCAAATGAATGTTCAGTTTAAATTGGCTAAATACAGTTTAGGTGCTTCAAAGCAGAAGGCGTGCAAAGTATTAAGGTGTCCATACACTGCATGATTCTCGTACGAGAATCGCAGGAAATCCCACAATCGTACGAGAATCGTGCAGTGTATGGAAGGCGTGCGACCGTTTCTAATGTACGATCGCACAACTTTTGTATATCGAGCATGTTGGAAAACCAGCCGTGAATCGTATGATTTGCGGCTGGTTTTTAACATTATCGAGAGATCACTGCCGAACGGGCCGGTGTGCGCATGCTCACACTGTCCGTTCAGCATTGCGATGATCGCAAGTACGATCTGCCTGTCCAAGATGAGCAGATCGTACGTTTTTTAAAGTACTTTACAACCCTCGCAAGACAAAAGTCTTGCAAGGGTTGTAGAGTGTATGGGCACCTTTTATAGTATGTTTTCTTTCTAAGGTAGCCACAGCCTGAGTTGAAAATCCTGTCCCCTGCCAGCATGCTGTAGAGAAGGACCCTTGCTGTCTGTGGGAAGCAGTGGTCTCTTTTTAGAAGTCCGGTACCCTGCCCGCTGTGTCCGGGCTAGAGCTCTGCAATCTGCAAAGCTCCTTATTCGTTGGAGAGCTCTAGCTCTGACACAGTAGAGGGTGTTTCAGACGTCTGCAAAGCATCGCGTCTTCCAGACAGAGATCCTTCTCTACAGAATGCTGGCAGATGACCGGCTTTTCTACACAGGCTGTGGCTACTTTAGACATTGAACACCTTTTGTTAACATGCACTGCATGTTTTTACATTTGAGGAGTCTCCCCTTCTCTCACATCAGAGAATGGCAGCCTGATTAAGAGTCTATTCACACCATCTGCGTTGGAGCTGTGCTGGCCGTTGTTTCCAGTGCAGCCCCCATGCAAGACGAGGCAATTTGCCTTGTCACAGATGGTGCCCTTTCACACCACTGTGTAATTACTGCAGCGTCTGTGTGAATGGGTCCTTAAGGATGATGGGAAGGAGAGGAGGAGAAAGGCAGCAGAAGATTGCTTGTTATTCAAGGTGCAGCGTAGTGGTTAGCCCTTCTGCCTTGCAGCATTGGAGTTTTTATGTTCTCACTGTGCTTGAGTGGATTTCCTCCAAGTACTCCAGTTTCCTCCCACACTCCAAATTGGCCCTGTATATATAATGTCCCTATCTCACATGCATGCATACAGATTGTAAGCTCCTAGGGGGCAGGGACTGATGTGAATGTGCAACTATGCAAAGTGCTGTGTAAATTGTCAGTGTTGTATAAATCCTTGTAATAAATAATTAAAGTAAATAAGGTGGGAGTTTGTTTCAAAGTGCCATTGACCGCCAATGTTTGTGGGATCATTTTGTAAAGGTGTGTGGGGGTGTTAACCAATGATAGAGGGGTTAAAATGCCACTGACCACCAATGATGGGGGGGGTCATTTTATTGCTCCAGTACTTGGCTCCAGTACTTGGCTCCGTTTACGTCAACAGCAGCATGTTACTTTACTTCTAAAAAATTGTGGCAAGAACGTTGGTGTGCCATTGTGGGTGTGTTTGTACTGTCGTAGCATTTTAGGGTCTTAAGAAATGCATGTTTTTCTTTTATATAGTTAAAAAATCGAAAACTGTTTTTTAAATACTACCAAAAAAAACTTTACCTGTTTAAAAAAATTGTTTTTGGGTACAGTGTTACATGAGTAATTGTCAGTCAAACTGTCCCAGCCTGGTAATGAAGGAGTTTGTGTAGGCTGGTAGTCAAGTGGTTATTGTAAGATGTCTATACCCTTTGTTTATAATATATACATATGTATTTGTGTTCACGACTGGTTCTATAGCTTCTACCAATGAGAGATGCGGGGAGAGTGCATTTAGTCCTAGCTGTGTACCTTCCTGTCACTTCACTAGGGAGGATGCAGATATGTGTATGTAGACCATTCCTCATGTCCCCTGGCTGTAGGGCATGGGCTTGTTTTCCCCCAAAGACAAGCTGGCATCTGAAGAGCTCCTCTTACCTCGTCCATAGGCATTATTGTGCAAGTTTGAATGTTTGTATAACAAGGAATGCTAGTTCACTGTCCACAATATGCAGACACAGCCAGCCTCCTTCTAATATTTGTAGGCACCATTAGGCCCCTTTCATACAGGTGTCAGCAGGGAATCCATACACAGATGCCCTGCTGATTGGAGCACTACGGAACAATTGTTACTTTTGTGCTGCCTGTATCCATTCCGTTTTTTCCTTCATCTCACCGGACCCATGTTAGGTCTATGGGCAGTTGGATGTAAGTAAACGTGATCATTTACATCTAACTACTTCTGATCTGTCACGATCAGGTCAGCCAAAATGGAGCTAGGTGGAGACTGTTTACATATAGACTAAGGCTGGGCACACACCTTACAACCATCGCAAGACTTTTGTCTTGCGATGGTTGTAAGGTACTTAAAAAAACGTACGATCTGCCTATCTTGCATAGGCAGATCGTACTTGCGATGATCGGCGGGCTTCCGATGACCGCAATGCCGAACGGGCAGTGTGCGCTTGCGCACACCGGCACGTACGGCTGTTATCGTACGGACATGCCACAAACCCGCCGAACATCGTACGATGCTCGGCGGGTTTTCGAACATGTCCGTAAGTTTAAAGTTGTGCGACC